AGTCCATTATTTCTTTAGTGATTTTCTGTCTGGTTGACCTATCCATTGCTTTAAGGGGAGTATTAAAGTCCACTGCTATTAGCACATTCTTATCTATAAGCTTATTTCTGTTTGTGATTAATTGTTTTAGATATTTAGGTGCTCCCATATTTGGTGCGTAGACATTTATGACAGTTGGTTTTTCCTGATGGATAGACCCTGTAATTATTATGTAATGCCCTTCTTCATCCCTTGTTATTGTCTTTAACTTAAAGTCCAGTTTGTCTCATATAAGCATAGCTACTCTAGCTTTCTTTTGATTTCTTGTAGCATGATATTTATTTCTCCATCTCCTTACTTTTAATTTGAAGGTATATTCCAGTCTAAGATGAGTTTCTTGTAGACAGCATATAGATGGATTTTGTTTTTGTATCCATTCTGCTACCCTATGTCTTTGGATTGGAGCATTCAGCCCATTTGCATTCAGTGTTGTTATTGAAATATGTGGGTTTAGAGTCTTTGTGTCTTTTGTGGGGTTCATGTTTGTGGTGGTGTCTCTGGTATCTTTGTTCCTTGCAACATTTCCTTCAGAGCATCCCCCTCAGGATTTCTTGTAGGGCTGGCTTCGTGGTGACAAATGCTTTCAACTTCTGTTTATTTGGAAAGCCTTTTATCTCTCCTTCTATTTTGAATGACAGGCTTGCTGGATAGGGGATTCTTCGCTGTATATTTTTTCCGTTCATCACATTGAAGATGTCCTGCCATTCCTTTCTGGCCTGCCACGTTTCAGTAGATAGGTCTGTCGCCACTCTGATAGGTTTGCCTTTGTATGTGAGGGCCCTTTTCTCCCTAGCTGCTTTCAAAATCCTCTTTGTCCTTGTATTTTGCCATTTTTACTATGATATGCCGTGCAGAAGATCGATTCAAGTTACGTCTGAGGGGAGTCCTCTGAGCCTCTTGTATTTCCACATTTACTTCCTTCCCCAGGTCGGGGAAGTTCTCTGCTATAATTTGTTCCAGGACTCCTGCAGCACCTTTCCCCCTCTCTTCCTCTTCTGGGATTCCTATGATACGGATATTGTTGCGTTTGACCGTGTCGCTGAGCTCTCGAACTCTTCTTGCATGTTCCTGGATCAGTTTGTCTCTTTTTTTCTCAGTTTCCTCTTTTTCTCTAATGGTGTCTTCTAAATCACTCATTCTCCTTTCTGCCTCTTCAATTGTACATTGGAGGCCTTTAATTTATTATGTATCTCATTTATCGCATTTTTTAATTCTTCATGCCTATTTTTATTTTCCATTCTGTCTGTAGCCATAGTTTCTTTGATGTCCCCTATGCTTTTTTCAAGCCCAACTATTAATTTTACCATTATTATTCTAAAATCTTGTTCAGTGATGCTGCTGATATCTGTTTTGAGCAGTTCATTAGCTGTCATTTCTTCTTGGAGTTTCTTTGGAGGGGAGCCTTTTCGTTTCGTCATTTTCATTACCTTTCTAGCTCTTGTTAGTTTAAAGACCTGTTATGCTCTCTGCACCTATGAGCGTTGCTGTATCCAAGAAGACTCTTTGACTGTCCAGGGCCTATCCTTTCCGAGAGTGTTTTTTGAATGGTATTTCTTGGTCTCTCTTGTTGGGACCTTGGTTATTTTATTTTCCTATTTGTAGTGATATTTGGGACTCTCCACCTGTGTACTCTGGCTTGTTTCTTGAGGTAGCCCTGAAAAAGAAAACAGACAGACAAACACACAGGGAGCAGGGGCACACAAATGCACAGAGTAATTCAACTAACATGCAAACCGAGAGGGAAAACGAAAAAGTTACGAGAAAAGATGGAGGAGGGAGGGCGAATAATAGAGAGTATAAAATACATAAAAGGGTCAAAAGGGAGAAATGAAAAGGAAAAAAGGAGGAAACCGATGGAGAAAGAACGGTTTAAAGCATAAACCGGATTTCCCAGCTACAGTTAAATAGCCTTGTTTATGCAGTGCTGGTTGAAGAGGTTAGAGAAAGAGAGAGAGGACAGGGCGGGGATGAGGCAAAATTGCAAACAGAATGAACAGTCAGAAGGGATAAGAAGCTTTTTTCGAAGAGCTAAAGGGTAGAATATGGTTGGATAGGTGAGAGAAGGGCGCTGGTATTATCCAGAGAGACTATATCGTCTAATTACTCCTGAGTGAAAGAGATGAAAATGTCGGTAGTTGTAGAATTTACATCTACAGAATGGATTAGTTGCCATTTTTTAAGCAAGCCGGTGACTGGTGACCAGAGTTAATCCGGTAAGTGTTCTGGGGGAAAAAAGAAAGAAAAGAGAAAAACAAAGAAAAAAAAAAACAAGGGAGGAGGGCAGCTCTCAAGCAGGGATGGGCGTGGTGTGATCTAATGCGTCAGGCGGGATTTCTGCCTTGGAGGTTGTGGGGTGGAGAGTGGCGGTGCTCCAGTCCCTTCTTGAACCAAGTGCTGCACCTCGGTTTTTTGGGCATGTAAACACCCTGTACTGGGACCACAGCCAAAGTTGGTTGCACTCTTCAACCCGGGCCAGTCCCAGTCTCCAAATCCCAGTCCAAGCTCCCCGCTGAAATTGCCTTAGACACAAATTCCCAGGCAAATCCCTCGGGGCAATTCCAGGCCTCCTGCCTGGCTCTGGGGGTGGAGTCAGAATTGCTGCTTCCTTCCCTGGGTCGGGCTGGCGAGCAGGGGCGGGGGCTTGTCTGCCGGATGTGCTGAGCCCGAGCCGCTGGAGTGAGGAAAACCAGGTCCCTCTACGTCTCATCATCCGAAACACGAACTCGTGGACAAATCTCCCTGTTTTTAGCTCTTTGCCTTCCCTCTAGAGTTCCAGCCTACCAAAAGCGCCGATGCCCGGTGTCCGCGTGCGGCTCTTCCAGGGGCCCAAGCCAACCGGGAGGACAATGGCGGCAGGTGCGCCGCTACTCTAGAAGTCCACCCAGCCAGGAGCCAGCACAAAGAAGCAGTCTGTGTGCTCAGCACCTCCGGGACCAGTTGGCGCGAGGGGACCTGGCGTGTAGGTATTTGGCACGTAGAGTGTTTCTATGCCCCGAGGGGAGGTTTTCCCCCAGGCGGAGGTTTTTCTGTTTTGGACTCTTTTTACCCTCTCACTCCCTGCAGAGGGGGATCGCCTCCGACTCTGGAGTCTCCGATTCCGGCCCGATTTTATCTTCCCCAGTTCGCACTCACGTTAGAAGGCTTTTTCAGTGGATTCTGCATCCTTTTTCTCCCAATCTCTCAGGTTTCGTAAGGTTTCCAATGGCTCCAGATCTTTTCCGTGTGAGGTATGGGCGTGAGTGCAAGTACAGAGCTCCTTACTTCTCTGCCATCTTGCCCCCATCCGCCAACATTCCAATTTTAAACTTTTTAGCAAGTATAACAAACTTAGCAAAATATAATGTAGATAAAATAAGATATATCCAAGGGTCTTTCTGACACAAGTGCTGCCAGTTTATGGCCTCTATTATGTAGAGAACCAACCAACCTCGGTAATCTATTTTTTTCACAGAAACTATAAAAGTAATAAATTCTAAAACACAAAGCTTTTGGAAAGTCAAGTAGAGAACAGAGACTAACAAGAATATGACAGTCTTGGAAAGGGAAGGAAAATTAAGACTACAGTACACCCTTGGGGCGCCTGGGTGGCTTAGTCAGTTAAGCGTCCGACTTTCGCTTAGGTCATGATCTCGCGATTCGTGGGTTCGAGCCCCGCCTCGGGCTCTGTGCTGACAGCTAGCTCAGAGCCTGGAGCCTATTTCAGAGTCTGTGTCTCCCTCTCTCTCTAACCCTCCCCTGTTCATGCTGTCTCTCTCTCTCTCCTAGAAATAAATTAAAAAAAAAAAAAAGTTTAAAAAAAAAAGGAGACTATAGTACACCCTTGATATTTGTGACAGACAACACCTCTAGATAAATATGGAAATAGAACTATTTTATTAGCCATAGATGTCCCAGTCAGTGGCAAATTCAATATATTACTTAAAAAAAAGTCATGCCTAAAAATCTGTGGACTTTCTTCCTTACTTTCATTACCAGTATGTGCTACAAGCCAGCTGCGTTCTTAAAGATTTTTCACATAGAAGAAACTTTTCCCACTTTGAGAGGTACCACTGAGTACAGAACAGTCTGTTGTTGCAGCACTGAGAAGCAGATGCTGAATGGAGGGCCAGGCCTGCTCATTATCAAAGTTAATCACCCATGCACAACAGATGTCCAGTGCATGATTTATATCTGTGTTTAGCATAATCACAAATTACTACATGTCGTAGACTTTTTGGGTTCACCTGCCAACGATTAGTCACTAAAGTTAAATCTATAAATAAAAAAAAAAAAAGTAAAATGCAGTCCCCTCCCAAAAATGTTTACACTTTAAAAATGATTTACTAATAAATTACAAAACATACAGCAGGCCACCATCGAAGTGTATTTCATAAGAACATTTAATTATACTCATAAAGTCTCATTAGCTCAAGCCTTTTAAATAAAAAGATAAAGGTTTGCTTTTTACTTAAGCTGCAACTGTATATATAGCTTTCAGAATCACTATAAATTACTGATTAAAATAATCTTCACCCCCCCACAGAAAGAGTTAAAACAGCAACAACAACAAAATATGAAAAGTTGGGAGGCATTTTGAAGGTGATTTTAGATTACACATGTTGAGAAGGTGATGAGAACTAAGAATTTTAAGAGGGGGGAAAAACCCTGGTGAAATGAAATATAAATAATGAACTTCATGCGGGAGCTTTTATAAACTTCATGCACTTCCCCAATCTCCACTTACACCACTAGCTAAGAACCATCCTTTTAAATTTCAGGGAAAAGTAAGTCACAAGGGACATCATTCTTACAGATATATGATTTGTGATGTGCACATGCTGTAAGGAAATTACACTCCCCAGAATTCGAAGTGACCACTTCTAGCACTATTTTTAGTCACTATTACTTTCGTTTCCTAACTCTAAAACAATAACAAAACAAAATACAAAATTAGAATCTGTTTTCAAAGATAACTAACTCACTTTTTGTGAAGGAATTCCCCAGCTGCCACAGCAACAGGGCGATGTGCTGAGTACACCAAGTGGTAAACATTTTCACAGTCTTCATTGGAAAGAGCTTCTTCACTTCCACTGAAAAATTGAGAAAGCAACATATGAGCCAAAATAAATGTTTAGTTTCAGTTCTATCTTTATTTAAATTTTGTAAAGTTCGGGGCGCCTCGGTGGCTTAGTCGGTTAAGCGTCCGACTTTCGCTTAGGTCACGATCTCGCGGTTCGTGGGTTTGAGCCCCGTGTCGGGCTCTGTGCTGACTGCTGGCTCAGAGCCTGGAGCCTGTTTCAGTCTGTGACTCCCTCTCTCTCTGACCCTCCCCTGCTCACGCTGTCTCTCTCTCTCTCCTAGGAAAGGAAAAAAAAAAAAAAACCAACCCTCCCCCCCCATAAATTTTGTAAAGTTCATAAAAGCTCAAGGCATACTGATTTTATCTTTGTCTCTTTTAATCTTACTTTGAAAGTAATATCTCTTTAATTATAAGATACCTAATCATCATTATATAAAATTCAGAAAATACAGATAAAATAAGAAAGTAAAATGTCCACATTTCTTTCCACACAGACACCCATGGTATGTACACCTTGGGATATATTAGCCCAAATTAGCTAAATTTCTTTAAATGTGCATAACATTTTTGTTGATAGGCACTGGGAATATATCTGTCCATTTCAGTTAAGTTATTATTATAGTACATAACTCTTCTTTCCAGAATTGTCTTTCTTTTCTTCCTCCCTTCCTCCCTCTTTCTTTCTTCTTAAGTAAGCTCTACCTTCAATATGGGGCTTGAACTAACAAACTTGAGATCAGAAGTTACATGACCCACCAACTGAACCAGCCAGGTGTCCCAGAAAAATGTCTATTTTAAATTATATTTATCACTATATTTACAATACTTAGTCTTCTTTCTACATAAAGTGGATTCATTAGTCAAAACCATTCCTTTACTAACACAAACTCCCTATCTTTTCATTTATGTATTCTCAAAGTATGAGCCATTTCTTAGTTTGCAGTTATGGGCTTTTAATTTTTTTTTCCAAAAAAGGAATGTCTATTTCCTGACTATTAAAGATGCTTAAAAAGGTCTGATACAATTAGAGATGAACAATGAATAGATAAAGTATAGAATTCTTGGGTCATACAGGTACTTCGTAAGATGTAGGGGTATAAATTCATTCTTCAGAATTCAATCCTAGATATGTCTCAGAAGAGGAAGTTGAGGGAACTGTCAATAACCATAAAATCAGAGTAACCTTTACAGCAAAAGAAGGTAGTTGCATCACAGTATAAGGGACTATAGTTCTGAATGAGAAAGGACTAGATATCAAGGATGGGAGGCAGGTTAGAGCATTTTTTTAGTATATTTTTCCCCCCACTCAACAATGCTTGTTCTAATTCTACTGTGAAGCAAAAACAGTAGCCAAATATAGTGTGAGAGATTTAACTATAGGGTTTTGGTGGAACCAAGAGGCACTAGGAAATTAATGGTACAAATTAGGCAGACTGGCTAGCCTATGACCTAAATGTCCCTGAATTTCCCTTACATATTTTGAGGGCCATGAGATTACCACTGAAGGAGACAGTTTTTTTTTGTTTTTTTGTTTTTTTAATTTTTTTAATGTTTTATTTATTTCTAGGAGAGAGAGAGACAGTGTGAGCAGGGGAGGGTCAGAGAGAGAGGGAGTCACAGACTGAAACAGGCTCCAGGCTCTGAGCTGGCAGTCAGCACAGAGCCCGACGCGGGGCTCGAACCCACGAACCGCGAGATCATGACCTAAGCGAAAGTCGGACGCTTAACCGACTAAGCCACCCAGGCGCCCCTGAAGGAGACAGTTTTAAGACTGTCGAGGAGGAGTTACAAATTATAACCAGAGGCTTTCTGTCCTGAAGGAGAAATGTTTTTGCCCATGTCCAATGCATAGCCCTAAATTATGAGGAGAGGCACAAGGCAAAGGCTTAAGTTTTATTCCTTCATCCAATTATATGATGAAATCAGCTAAATTAGCTAATACCCTTAGGAGACCATTAAACTCATAGGAACCAAAATTTAACAAGACATCTTAGGAACCCAAATTTATAACTGAAAAGAAAATAACCTATACCCAAAAAAGGAAAATTAACAAAGAATTTAAAAGAGATACAACAGGATATTATGTGTGAGACTTTATCTGTTATTTTGATAGAGATCCCATAAGCCAAGAGAAATAAGGTCAGATCATTTCATGCAAATGCTGTCAAAGACTAGAAAGCTGGTTTTGTGATCTCAGCTCATTATTCACTAAAATAATATATAAATAGAAATAAGGGGATTGAGCAATACAATGGATGGAGAATACTTCTTTCAAGAGAAAATGTCAGAGTATTGTGTAACTCTGAAACCTCCCCCAGAGAAACTGGAGCCAAAGTTTCAGAAAACCACTATAAAAATTTTTATAAACATCCCATATAAATGTGAGAAGGTTTAGGAAATGGTACCAGGTGTAGAGCTTAAAAAAGTATAAATGTGAAAAGCTGACTAGAGCAACACATGGTCATAAATTAAGACGAGAAGAGGTACAAGGGGTCATTCAAAATTGGCTGTGTTACCTGCAGGCCAGATATGGAATACTTAAAGGGAGCCAGTCTTAAGAGTTTTAAAAGACTTTGCCCAACAAGACTACCTACAGGGCAATGAACTCTAACAGAGGAAACTTGAAAGTCAGGGGATGAGACTCAAAGTAAATAGCCAGAGGAGCCACCATCTACTCTGGGAAATGAAATCGCAAATACCTAGAGTGGGGAAGAGATCTGTGAGGACTCCCCAAAAGTACCAATGTACCTCATGAATCAGGATATCTGACACAGCTGGAGGGCCGTAACTGTACATTTTAAATAAGACATGTTCTGCCCAAATCTCCAATGATAATGGAGAAAAAAACCTTAAAACTAGACTTTTGAAACCAACCAAACCATCATCTGAAGCGTAACGAAAATAGGATTTTTTTAGCCAACAAGGTCTCAGATGATTTAAAAATAATCTTTAAGAAATAAACTAGGAGGAGAGATAATCTTGGGGAAGTCTATGAAATAATTACTGTTCCATAGAAAGAGAAAGGATGAAAAAATATCAAAGGGAAGTTTACTCTGTCTAAATGAACAAGTATTGAAAATAGATAAGGACACACACGAACGGATGGACACACACCCACAGCTTTAACAATACATATTTTAAACTCAGATAATTCCAACAACACAGACAAGTGGAATGTCAAGTATTTTTTTTTATTTGAGGGAAAGATACTGGTAAGTTTGTGAAGTTTACAAGGAAACAGTAACTAGCATATCAAATATTTTAGTATAGACTTGAAAAGGAAAAAGCTTCATTGATACAGGTAATTTAAATAAATTCAAAGTAATGAATATAAATACATAACTATAAACACAGTTAGACAGTTGTTTTTAAAACATATTTAGAAAATAGAGAAAACTGACCAAACCACTCAGAACACATTTTCAGATAATAGAATAAAATAACAAAGGACAGCTTAAGAAAATCTGACTTGGAAGGAACAGAAACTTACCAATGAATAATCCACAATTAAACCAGTAATCATAAAGATAATAAAAATATTTATCACTGAAAGTCTTTGAAAACACTTTATATCCAATTTTTTTGAAAAGTAGTAAGTGTACTTAAAAGTTATATTTATTACTTTAAATATAATTATTAGAAAACACAAAACAAGCTAAAAGAAGCTAGTTCATTAAAAAGAAGGTAAGACAAGGGTGTCTGGGTAGCTCAAGTGGTTGAGCATCTGACTCTTAATTTTGGCTCCGGTCGTGATCCAATGGTCGTGAGACAGAACCCTGCGATGGGCTCTAAACTGAGTGTGGAGTCTGCTTAAGATTCTCTCTCTCCTGCCCCTCCCCCACGCAAGTTCTCTGTCTCTCAAAAACAAAAATAGTAAGATAGAGATGACTGATCAACAAAAAGATACAAATAAAATACATGAAAAAGATATTAATGAGAAATAGCACAGTTTTATACGCTAATAAAAATATTGTCAACTATAAAATTTAAAAACTGTGATGAAACTGATGTATAAAAAATGTTTATAAAAGCCAAAATTAGTATAGTAAGAAATAAAAGTTAATTTAGATAGAGAACCACTGAAGAAGTAAAAATGGGAATCAAAACCCTTTTTCCTCAAAACAAATTCAAAACTAATATGGCTTTGATATGAGTATACTCTCAAAATTTCAAGGAAGAATTAATCTCTGTCACAGAAAATTTGTTTCAGAAGGGTAAGAAACCACTGAAGATAATTTTACAAAGAGAATAAAATCTTGATTTCAAAACTGGATAAAGAACAAAAAAAAAAACCTACCAAATTTAGACATAAACAGATGTGATAATCCTTAGTAAGATATTAAATATGACACTGTATTCAAGCAAAGCACAACAAAACCAAACATATTCTATTTAAATATAATTTATTCTAGAAATGCCAGGGTGGTTACCACTATACAAATTATTAATTTCATTCAGGCTAATCAATACATGAAAGGAAACTCCCAAAAAACTTAGAATGCAAAGGAATGTCTATCATGTATCGAAAACCTATCTCAGAAATCACAGCAACAAAGAACTTTAGATGCCATCCTAGAACAAGAACAAAAAGATTCACTCTTAGTGATACATTATAGTGCTCAAAGTCCTGCCTAATGCAATTAGACAAGAGAATGAAGCAAAAGGTTTAACGTTAGGAAATGAGACAAAACTGAAATTGTTTACAGGTGATATATAATCATCTATAGAGTAAACTCTAGAGATTCAACAATCCATCATAATACATGAGAGTCCTAATAGGTTTCACATATAAGATTAACATAAAAATTAAACATTTCTATGTCTCAGCAATAATCAAGTAGAAAATATTTTAACACTAAATACTAATCACATAACAACAAAACCATAAAGTATTTCAGAACTGACCTAATACTTTTATGAAACAGTTAAACCTTATATAGAGTATCTAATGAGATCTGAATGCAGAAATGCATCAATTTTATGCATAAATGACATAAAATCATAAACAAC